ACATGAGCCATCCTAAGTGTTTAGTATATTTTGGGACTTGCATCACATGGCACCATTAGCAATATGCTTACTCATAGCTAGTGTTGCAATAAATGCACCACTAAGTAGCAACAACAGCACACTTTATGAGTGATGACTGTAGACCCTTCCAGCCTTCCAGCATCATGCACTAAAATATTCATTTTCATTTATTTGGCTTTTCCTTCAAAATATAAATCCATCTTAGCCACGATAAATTGTAATTGCAGCATTCAAGGCGCGCTGACTACAAATCCCATCAGTGGGATTTTCAAGCACTCCGGCTGCTGTCCCCTCCCCCGCTCTATGCTCAGGATGTGGCGAGGAACACAGAAGCATTCAGCTGTAGCCAGATGTGGCGTGCATCTCGAGACAAAGGATTCATGCACACTCGCAGATGAGTCGGTGTATTGTTTAAGTCAAATCAGATACCAGACACGTTCATGCCCTGCTGTTGTTGGCAAATTTAAAGTAATCGGACGCTTTAAATTATTTAAATCACACCATACAGATGATTAATTCAGTCATCCAAAAGATCAGACAGTCAGTAATTACTGACAGCTTTATAAAGCCATTACTTTGTTCTGATCCACTCACTCTAACATGCTTTATTTCAATATTTTTTAAATGCACATGCATTTCAAACCCTAGTAAAGTATGATATTTGCTAACAACTTTATAGCATTCCATCGATCCATCCATTATCTTTTACTCACGTCTTCATTTATGGGTCGTGGAGGTCACTGGGCCCATGTCCAGCTATTACTGTGCAAGAGGCAGGGGACACCCGACAGGCCTTCAGTCCATCACAGGGCCACAAAGAGACAAACAAGACAAACAACAATTCACTTTCTCACTATAGGGGCAATTTAGAGTTACCAATCAGTCTAACATGCATGTTTTTGGTCTGTGGGAGGAAATCGAAGTACCCAGAGAAAACTCTTGTATGCACTGAGAGAACATGCAAACTCCACCCAGAAAGGTCCCGAGCTGGGATTTGAACCGGCGACCTTCTCAGAGAGGCGGCAGCTCTAGAGCTGAGTCACTGTGCATTAGTTAAATACATTGATGCTGAGTTCACCTTAGTTGTTCCCCGTCTTTCCATCAGGACTATTGTGCCACCTTGTGGTGTTGGTTAAATAACAAGATGAAGCTAAATTGACACAATTCAGTGACATCTATGTTGAATAATGTGTAGCAAATATGTTTTGTATGCCATAATGTAAAAAAAAAATAGGAGTATGGTCTGAAAACACTTCCTGACCTGGTAAAAATACAAGCATTAATTCTACATTTTTTACCACCAGGTCAAACTTGTAAATATCAGAAATGATGACATCACAGACGGCAACCCGAAACTGACTCTGGGATTGATCTGGACCATAATTTTGCACTTTCAGGTCAGTTCTACCATCTTTGTTTTGTTTGTTCTTTCTTTTTATATCAGCTTTCTTATTATATATTTTTTAAATTTTACATCTGATAAATTATTCAATCAGTTTGAAACTCATTTGTATATTCTGATGTTTTTTTGTGAATATATCTTATTTAAAAAAAAAAAAATTAATGTAGTTTTTTTTTTTTTTTTTATAACTGTTTAACTATAATTGTAAAGCATAACTTCAGATATGGACCAGCTCTTGATTTGTAAAATGAATGTTTCTGCTTTTAGCCACAAGGTGTCAAAGTGGTGCAGAATATTGTAGATTATCCAGGGTATTCCAACCATTTTAGTATTTAATAGTATTTAGGAGATGTTTTTTTTAAAACATTACAGTGGATCATCACTTTGATGTGTCGTGCACTCCATAATAATTAAACAATTAAAACAATCCATGCAATATTTTATATCAGTCTTCTTGCAGATTGTTTACAGGAAAAAAAAAGGATGATTTTTGTCCACATGTAATAATAATAAAATTAATGCAGTCCATATACAGTATATATAGGGCACTTTACATTTGTAAATCTCAACGTGCTACATTTAAATAGTCATAAAAACTAAATAAATTGACAAAAAATAAAAATGACTAATCCGTTAGGGCCATAACACGACAGAACAAAAACATTTTTAATCGTTTTTGAAGGATTCTGCAGTCTGAAATGAATTCCATAAGTGAGGAGCAGCAGAGCACTAGACTCGGCCCCCTCCCGATTAACGTATATAACTGGAAATAATTTATTCAATGTGTTATGGACTTGTGATGGTTTTAAACATTTCATATGTGCCTCCAGTTTATAATTCCTGATAAGTGTTCTCAAAAATCTTCCCTCTGGGAGTACTTATGCGATTGCTGTCACATTAATCATGTGAAATCAGTTGGCCTATACGTGCACACTGGGTACATCCAGGTGTCTGCTGAGGTATTCAACAACTTAAAAAAAAAAAAAGATTTCTTGCTAATGTTCTTCCTTTTCCATTTTTCTAACTCTTTGAAACTATTCCCAATGATGGTTTAATATTTCTAATATTCACACCACTTGTGAACCAGGGAGAGAATTAGTCTAATATACAGAAACGAGTAAACAACCTCATTGACTAAATACAGAAAAAGCAGTTCTGATTGTAACTGGACTCAGACATACTGACAGGTAGCGTCCGTGATGGCGCCAACACCTGCCGCTGTCAGTCTCACGCAAGCCCCTGAGCACTCGGTGCTACAGCGCAGGTTTGTTCTTGCTTTGAGAGGGTAAGGGGGCGCTTCATCAGAAAATCTGGAGGCTTGTTTAAAAACACGTGCCCTTTTAGCTTTATTAAATAAGCCCAGCTGACAGAAAATTGACATGCATACCAGGAGGCGCTTTTTTTTTGCGTTTACAACACTGCAGACATTTTTAAGATTAGTGTCTGTCCTACAGAGGAGGGGTGGTTTATGAGGACATAGTGTTCATGTTTTTTTGTTTTTTTTTTACTGGTACAGTTTGAGCTTATAGAAATGTTGGACTGCAAGTTTTTTCTTTCTTTCTTTCATTTTTATTTTTTTTACCTCATACCAAGTTGAATTTTACTTTTTTTTTAAAGTTGCATTTTTATATGCAGAACATCCATTACTATGCTGTTATTGTATAGTTTATTTTTTTTAATTAATTTAAAGTACTTTAAAATAAATTAGTTGTAGTATTTACTTAGGACTGTTTATTTGAGGCTGTTACCTTCGTAATGTCTGCCTGATGTCAGGTGTTGCAATGGTTGCTTGACTGGTTTCTTTGTTTTGCCTTTATTGTGTCTCCATCTTTGTTTGGAATATCTGTTTTACGATCACTAACCTCACACATAAGCACATTTTTATGATTCATCTACCGGTATTGAAACTCTTTGAAAAAGAAACTGGGGCAACAGCCTGTCATGCTGGATATTTCCAACCAACAGTTCAGTGATTTCAGCATAAAGGCAAGCAAATAATGCAATAAAAGTAGTATTTTACTTTTTTTTTTTTACTGTTATCTTAGCTCAGTTTAAAGGAAGCAGCAGAAATCAGTGCACTGTAGTTTGACTTGTGCTCATTGTCTGATGACAGAAACCTCTGGAGTAGTTTCAAAGTTATACCTTACCTTACCTTACAAGTTATACCTTCTTCCACCTCCATAATATCGCTACAAGTAGAACCATCTTATCTAAAAGTGATCTTTCAGTTATCAGGCTCCTCTCTTGTGGAACCAACTTCCAGTTTCTGTCTGTGAGGCTGACACATTGTCCAGTTTTAAGACTGGGCTTAAGACTTTCCTTTTTGTTAAATCCTATAGTTAGGGTTGGCTTGTTATGCTGTCTTAAGCTTAGACTACTAGAGGACAAATTGACCAAATTTCCTTAAATTACTTGTTCAAATTGAAAAATTTTCATTTGATACTATTTCTGTCTTAACATGTGATTCTCGACCTGCCGTTGTGTATCTGTTCCTACCAAACCCAACCGGTCAAAGCAGATGGCCACTTGTTCTTGTTTAGCCTGGTTCTGCTAAAGGTTTCTTCCTCATGAGGGAGTTTTTCCTTTCCACTGTCGCCTTCATGCTTGTTCAAGATGAGAGTTCTGTGATGGAGTTAAATTCAAAGCAGTCTGCTCCTCAGATAAATAACTTTAAATTATTATTTTTATAAATGAATGTTTCTGTTCAGTGCCCTGAGATGACTTCTGTTGTGACTTGGTGCTATATAAATAAACTGAATTGAATTGAATTGAATTTACAAAGACACATGCATATTTTTACTGTCATGACATTACATCTACAGTCCTACACTCTTCTGGTTAGATTTTCCCCCCATAGTAAGCTAGTTTTTTTAGACCTATTTTTTTTTATATAGTAAACAAGCTTTTGATTAGATAATAATATTTCTTCAAAATGCTCAGCCTTAGCACCACCTCTGGTTAGTCCATTGCATGTAGTTAATAAACAAAATGATGTCATCTAGTTAGGGTTTGCCACATATTACTGTTGTGTTTTTTCCTGCAACTCTTCCTTGTTCATAAAGGCAAATATGCTGAGTCAATGTTTCTCAAAACACAAAAAGGTGTTGCTAACTAGCAGCCGCTTACACTTTAAAACCTCATTGCACCAAAAGTAGAAATGGGAATCTGTTGTGCGCATGTTGAAAATGCAGACTAGTCGGACTTGAACAGGTTTATCCACAAGCCTTTTTCATTCTTGTTCAGCTGAGAGCTACGAGCACGTGGATAATGTCTGGGTGTGCATTTATGGTGTTTGTGCTGGATTACCAAAGCCAGAAAAATGGATCAAAGGTCAGAAAAGATTCTCAAGAGTAAGAAGAGAGCAAGGGAGAAGTGCAGCGTGGGAGCCGCCGACCAGTTCTTGATAGAGAGTCTAAAGGACGAAGTCGGCTGCTTGGCATGCTGGGAGCTTTATTATCATCTTACCGGTACTCTGCTGCTCAGGTTCTCTTTGAACTAACTTATAATGGCTTTCTGTCAGAGGGTTCGTGGTTCCACAGATTCTGTGGAGCTCACTGGATACTTTCTCTTTGTGCTGCTGGGAGTTTGACAGACTGTTGATGGATACGTCATACATCTGACAGCCATGGGAAACATCTGTGGTTGTGTTCGTGGCCCAAAAGAGGAATGCTATGTTGACCCCAAGAAAGCTCCACTGAGCCCCGAATCTGAAGAGCTTAAAGGTCGTCGCTATTTTCACAGGAAGAAAAGGAAATCAGAGGATTTAAAGCCTTTTGGATCCCTTAGGAGTCCTGGAAGGGAAGTCATTACAAGCAAAGCCATCTGCAATCCTGCTGAGCTTCAGGATGAGTCAGAAGAGAAGTTGGAGCCAAACCAAACATTGGATGATGAATTCTCACAGGTGGTAAAACATCTTTCCAGGAAAGGCAGCATCAGCAATGGCATGTATATTGAAGAGGTACCTGTTGTACTCCACAGAGATGCTGGAAACAAACCTTTTAGCACAAGTCTAGCATACAGATTGGAAAGTTTGCCTACAGGCAGAGAACATGATGACTATAGTGGGACCATTATAGAAAGAAAGCTCCATGGCATTAACACAACTTCCAGGAGGATCTCATCTAGGGACAGTTTGCTGGTGAAGAAACTGCTTCAGCGCCAGTTAAGAAGGGCTGTTAGCTTTGGAGCAGTGGAGCACATGTTACGGACTTTGAAAGGCAACGACCGGTCAGGGAGTGAGGAGACGTTTGCCAAGATTATATGTGGCTCTCAAGTGCACCGAAGGAGGAGGCAGAGGAGCTACACCTGCTCTGGTTACATCAAGCAGATGCCAGCTTCTGCCAAGTGTGCTTCCACCCAACACAAGGTAAAACAAATATCTGTAGCAAACACGGAGGTGATTCATGATAGAATAAAACGAGGCGTGATTAGAGAGTCAACTTGAAGATTGACTTGAGGGCAATATTTTTAACACATTGCAGTAAAACACCGCATTAAACAAATCATCACATTACTGAATTTTAGAAGCATGCTTCAATCTTTTGGTCGTATTTTTCTTCGATTAGGTGTGTTCTGTGAGTTTGAAGTTCCTTGAAGATCCGGATTGATTTATTATTCTTATGTTTAGGATTCTTGTGCTTGAAACTTTTGTTGATAAATGTTTACACACTATGAGAGATGGAATATCTGCTTTGCTTTTTCACTATTTGTTTCTGATATCTGTGGATTCATAAACTTAGGACTCTTTCAGTCTTTTGGGGTCTTGCTTGATTTTTGCATTGAGTTGCTGTTTAGTTTGAAACTGAAGTCTTGTTAAAGTATCCAGTGAAACTGCAGAAGTGAGTCTTGCTCAGTTTTTGGACATCCATGCTTAGCTCATGTCTTTGTAGACTGGAACTGTACTTGCTCAGGGGTCCATGTGTTTGTATGGCTGATCATTTATATTTTATTACCTCAGTTGTTTAGCTTTGTCTATTTTATACCCTACATGAAAAGATGGGTTTAAAATCAAAATGTTTAAGTTTCAATGATCAGGCAACAAGTTATTGTGTTTGGCCCTAGCGCTACTGCTGTTCCTGTAAACCTTGATTCTCTTGAGCCATAATTTAAGCAGTCTGTTATGAATCTTGGGATCGTTTTGGACTCTGACTTTAAGTTTAATAAACAGAATAACTCTGTTCTACAAAAAATCCTTCCAGTTAAGGCAGAGAGCTAAGCTTAGGTCCATGTTGACCAGATCTGACCTTGAAAAAATAGTCCATGCATTCATTACAACCTGGCTAGACTACTGTAATGTGCTTTATATTGAGGTCAGTCAATTCTCCCTTTCACGTCATCAGCTCATCCAAAATGCTGCAGCTCATCTCTTAACAGGAATTCATAAGTTTGAGCATATTTCACCAGTTTTGTCCTCCCTTCACTGGCTCCCTGTGTGTACCAGAATTGATTTTAAGATTCTCCTATTGACCTTTAAGTGCATAAATGGTCTTGCACCCTCATACCTCTCTTACCTGCTGCATCCATATTGTCCTTCTTGGGGGCTGAGATCATCTGACCAACTGCTTTTGGTTGTACCAAAAACCAGGTTGAAGCTCAGAGGAGATCAGGCCTTTTCAGTCGTGAGCCCTAAACTCTGGAACAATCTGCCCATCAACATTAGACAAGCCACTTCACTTTCAATTTTTAAATCCCTTCTAAAATCTCATCTGTTTTCACTGAATTTTGGCACAGTGTGATTTGATTTAGTATTTCATTGTTTTTAGTTTTTTACGATTTTCTTTTGATGCTTTTAATTACATTGTATTATTTTTTTCTTTAATTACGGCCATTGATTTTATTGTTACACTTTGGTAACAGCTGCTATTTTTAAATGTGCTTTGTAAATAAAATTCTAAAAGTTGGTCAGATAAAGTTCATTTTGTAAAACTTGTCTTGTTTTTATGTGATTTATAGAATATAGTGTTTTCATATTCCCATTGTTTTAGGATGTGACAAAGTCGACAAGGATTAAGTCAGTATTATGGACGTTGCTCAGATGTCGTAAATGTGATTTAAACCTTGTGCAAGCAGTGAAGTGGTACTGTTTGCATTACATCACCATACTTACCAGATAAAACATGCTGTAAATTTGTTTGATAATTCTTTATGCATTTGTGCCTTGGAAGACTCGGAAAACTTTGATTTGCATTTCATTTATGCAAATATCTGAAGCATTTTTGTTCTTGCTGTTATGATTGTTCTCATTCTTTGATAATCTTTTTCCTGTTTAGATTTTTTAAAAATATAGAGTCCGTAGTTTTAACAGTAGAGGGATGACAGACACAATTTTTTATTTGGGCAAGTTTTCTAGAATAGGGGAACAGTTGGGAAAGAAATAAAATTGGCCTTTGGTTGGGAAAATGTAAAAAAAAAAACACACAAAGTATGATCAAATGTAATTTAAACATTTTTAAATTAATTTATTTTATTTATTTATTTTTAGGGAAAATAAAATAAAAAAATAATAAATACATTTAACAAAGAGTTTCAGTGCATTCAAGTGCAATGCAAAAAGAACAAAAAAAAAGTTATAATATTTAAGATATATGTAGAGCAAGTAAAAAGCAAATTAAAGATGCAGGGGGAAAACAGGGCAGAAAGAAAACCTAAAATGTATTTACTATCCATGCAAAATAAATAAATAAATACAGTAAATAAATTGATTAATAAAAAAAAAACAGAATGCGGAAAAAAAAAACCTCAAATCCTGTAGTCACTTTTTTAATTACTTCAATTCTGGTCACAGTCATAACATGTTTAAATCTGAAGTGCCACATTCGATTAACACTAACAAAAGTATTTTATTAAAATGCTCAACAAATAGTCAACAGTTGGAGCTTGACGTGATGTAGCGATCATTTAGGCCTGCTTCTCAGCTTTTAAATGACTTATACTTTACTATGAACTCTTTCAAAGGTGATGATGAAAGATTGTTGTAGGATCAGTGTTATTGTTAAAAAAAAATCTAAAGGTGAAAAGATAATTAACAATAATCAAGTTTCAATAGTCTGTAACTGTGTTAATTATCACAGTCACAAAACATTTAAAAAGCTTTCAATATACGACGTTAAGAATGAATTCAGTGAGAAAGTTCTTAACATATTAGTGCAGATTACAGTTAAACAAGGCAGAATAAATCAGAGATTTAAACTGAGTGAATTGTATACTAACCCAAATACAGTATTATGTCCAAGACTAACTTCAATTAAAATCATCACAACGAAACCAGAGTGTTTTAGTATAATTTTATTTAGACAATACTAACAAAGAAAACAGACTTCTTCAAGAGATAATATATTGGTTTGTTTGTTGGGATCTATATAATGTTCATTGGGACGAAGATGCAAAACTATAATAAAATATAAACAAGCATTTATTTCATTATTGTGCTGATTTGCTGTCTTAATAACTGGTTAAACTTAAATAACTAACTTTATTTTTTCATATATGACCACAGGCTTGTTGAGAAAAATCAGTCCAATTAGGGTGAAATGCCAGTTTAAAATTCATCAGAAGTTTAGGGGCAACATTCTTTGTGGTTTTAAACCAGCTACTTTAACTACATTTTCCGTCTTATTTCAAAATACCTTCTTTGTTTTGCTTATGTTGCGACAGATCTCAGAGATCCATGTCACAGGGGAGTCTGAGGACATGACAGCCAAGGAGAGACTTCTGCTCTGGTCCAAACAGATAACAGATGGTTATGTAGGTGTGCGGTGTGAAAACTTCACAACGTCCTGGAGGGATGGCAGGCTGTTCAATGCCATTATCCATAAATACAGGTACTGTTTTAACAGAGCATCACTGTTCACGTTTAGTATTTAATCAAGCTCTTGCTCTTAATTTGATTTAATATCTTCAGGCCACACACCTTGTTTCTCCATTGTTGTATCTAATCAGAATCTAATGTGAACCGTCTCTTTTTCTTTCTGTTGCAGACCAGATTTGGTTGACATAAGTCACGTGTCGGGGCAGACCAATCGCTCAAATTTGGAACAAGCATTTAGTGTAGCTGAACAGTTGGGGGTGGCCAGACTGCTTGACCCTGAGGGTGAGACCTGAACCTGATGTCTTGTGCGATTTGCTTCTGAGAACACCGTAAAGGCTTGAGCACATTTGAGCTATACATTCTCATGCTTGGAATTTATCTTGAGAAAAGACTCCTCAGAGTTTAATGTGAAAAAGAAAGTGCACCCACTTTCAGTTCTAAAGGTCTGACTTATCAGGAAGTATAGAGTATAAAATATCACATGTTGTTCATCTAAAGTGTTGTTTACCTAAATATAAGACCTGATTTAGTTTTTTTCTGATTTATAAGTCATTAGCACTCAAAGAACATGTACCGTATTTTTCGGACTATAAGTCGCTCCAGAGTGTATGTCGCATTAGTCAAAAAATGCCTCATGAAGAGGAAAACAAACAATATATAAGTCACTTCGGAGTATAAGTTGCATTTATTTAGAAATGTATTTCACAAAATGCAAGAGCAGACATTTAGTCTGAAATAACAATAACACACATATTGCGTCGCTCGAGGTGGCTGCATGTTGGAGCAGCTCTGTTACTTTCATTCTGAGATTTTGTTTTTGGAAACTGTAATTCCTCTTTTTCTGGATGTAAATCACATTTTTTTGGATGATTGTTTCCTCTGGTATCAGATGCTGTGCAGCTGGAAGGATTTTTACTGAAACTTTTTTTAGTTTTGGACATTTTATATGATGCGTAACCATGGCAACAAGGCAGTTTTCTACAACCAACAGCAGCTGATTAACATCTCAAAAGCTCAAATAATATCTCAACTACAGCCCCAAATCTCAAATGAGTTGAAAAGGATGTTCTGTGGACGCATTCTCATCTACCTGCCAGCTGTGCTCGAGTGTCTGACCACTGAGATCCTGGAACTAGCAGGAAACACGGCTCATGGCAGCGGAAGGACAGGATCGTCCCTCGACACCTACAGTTGGCTGTCCGCAGTGACGCGAAGCTCAGCAGACTGCTGGAAGGAGTGGCCATCGCTTTGGGAGGAGTTCTGCCCAGCATTCGGGCGATCCTACAGCCCAGGGGAACCGAGAGACCAGCCGAGTCTGGGTGAACGGATCGGACAGCATCTGCAACCAGTTTCTTAGGATCCACTGTGGGATGGACCTTTACAAGAGATCCTTCCTGTCTACAGCCATCAGTATCTATAACATCTCTTAATGAAATGAGGATAACGAGTTACAACAACGAATAATTTCCCCTTGGGATTAATAAAGTATTTTTGAATTGAATTGAATTGAATATAACAAGCTAACGAGTCTGACAGGCAAGTTACCGGTAAATTCACCAATCTCATTCCACATCACTTTTGGTGGCATTTTACTTTCATGAAGTTTTTCTCAATTGTCTGTAAGCGAATGCTTGGGGTGTGGGTGTTAGTGGTAGAGGAACAACATATAGTTGTCAAAAACATAGAGGGCCCTCTCGCGGCTGCAAATGGTAATGTTCACTCTTTGGCTCATGTCAGTATGAATGAACATTTAACGCGTCAGTCAAAAATTGCCTCATGAATAGGGAAAAAAAAGTATAAGTTGCAGGACTGGCCAAGCGATGAAAAAAGTGTGACTTATAGTCCGGAGAATACGGTACTTTCTATTCCATATAGCCGTAACCAATGGTTGTTTGTTGGTTTTTATTTTCCTCATTAGATGTTGATGTTCAGTCTCCCGATGAGAAATCTGTGATCACATATGTCTCAACGCTATATGACGCCTTCCCCAAAGTACCTGATGGCGTTGATGGCATAAGTCCTAATGTAAGTTTAAAGTGACCAGCACACAAGGGGCTTGATTCAGTGAAACTGCTGACTTTCTGCTGATGATTCTTTGGCTTTTATCAGGATGTTGATATCAAATGGGTGGAGTACCAGAACATGATCAAATACCTCAGCCAATGGATCAAGCACAACGTGGCCGTGATGTCAGACAGATCTTTCCCCAACAACCCCATGGAACTAAAGGTTTGCTTACATGCCATTAAAAAAAACCACACAACAAAAACAACAAAAACACAACAACATTTGAAAAAAACGGAATTTCATTTGAAAAAACAGAATTACATAAGGCCAAGGCGGAAGTGGCTGGAATCACTTTTTTTTATTTTTTAAAGGAATTACATTTTAAAAAAGCGGAAGTGGCCAAAGCGGAAGTGGCTGGAATCATATTTAGAAAAAATGGAATTACATTTGAAAAAGTAAAATTACATTTGAAAAACAAAATTACATTAGAAAAAAACAAACAAACAAACAAACAAAACCCCATAATAAATAACAAAGTAAAAAAAAAAAACACACACACTAAGAACAACCACCACAACTTCCGGTTTTGCTTCATCTAATTCCGTTTTTTTTCAAATGTAATTTCGTTTTTTCAAATGTGATTCCAGCCACTTCTGCTTTGGCCACTTCCGCTTTGGCTTAATGTAATTCTGTTTTTTCAAATGTAAGTTTTTTTTTTAAAAATGTAAGTCAATTTTTTCAAATTCAATTCCGGCCACTTCCGCTTTGGCCACTTCCGCTTTGGCTTAATGCAATTCTGTTTTTTCAAATGTAATTCAATTTTTTCAAATGTAATTCTGTTTTTTCCAAATGTAATTCTGTGTTTTGAAATGTTGTGGTTTTTTTTTGTTTGTTTGTTTGTTTTTGTTGTGTTTTGTGAAATGTAATTCTGTTTTTTGAAATGTTAATTTACGCCTCACGGCCACCGTATCATTTTGTAGATCTTTGTTATTAACATTTGCCTTTATTCCACACCTATTACCGGTAGTTGAGCTGTTTGAGTTTAGAAAGTCCAACACTTGGAACCATTAAAGGTTATTTCTCTATTTCAAATGGTTTCTCTGTCTCCTGAAATTGAGACTGGAGGCGAAATTGATCAACACAAGAGAGCAGCAACCATCCATTAGCTGTAAGAAATCAATATCTTGTAATGGTCGAGATAAATTTGTCTTTCCGTTTTCTAGACAAGGTTAGAGTTTAGTCAAGTTCTTAGAGCCGCCTTTTGAACTATAAAAACATGTACAGCAAATTAATGTCTCTGTTATTTGTTCTGCCCTTTTTTTCCCCAGGCACTTTATAAACAATACCAGCAATTTAAAGAACGTGAAATCCCACTTAAAGAAAATGAGAAAACAAAAATAAAAAACCTCTACAAAATGCTCGAGGTAAACAAAGCAAAAACATGTATTGTTGCAGTTTTATGTCGCCATTTACTGCAGGGATAAAAAGTACATGTTTGGTGTTTATCTGAACAGATGTGGATCGAGTTTGGACGTATTCAGTTGCCCCCCGGTCATCATCCGAACGATGTGGAGAAGGAATGGGGTAAATTGATTGTTGCTATGCTGGAAAGAGAAAAGAGCCTGCGGCCAGAAGTGGAAAGGTATGTGGATGTGCACTGTAGGCTTCAGCACTTTTTCTGACCTGTCTCATTATGATTTATTAAAAGTCTAGTCTTTAAAGCCTCAGTAAGGAATTTAATTTCAAACCTCATGGTTTGCTCAGAAGTCAAAAATTGCAGTTTGGAGATACTGTAAGTGGCATAATATAACTATTTGATGTTACGCAGCATTTAGCAAATGTGCTACTTCATTCACTTTTTTTTTTTTTTACTAAATACACACATGTCAGCATGATAGCCTCTGAGGTTGTTTTTTACTGGCAGAGTGCACTCATATTGTATTACAAGCTTTTTAATGTCTTTACTGACATCAGATACCAAGGGTTCTGTTGGATGTTAAGGTGAGATAGACAGAAATCTCCTTACTGGATGATTTAGCTCAGTTGTGCAAATCATATGAAGATAATAATAATAAAGTAAAGTGCCATGTGTTGTCATTATTGTATGTTCCCATACAATGGCAAAGTTGGTTCTCTGCATTTAACCCATTGCACATGGGATACACCCAGGTGGAGCAGTGGGAAGCTATGTAAGCGCCGGGGGAGCAATTAGGGGTGTCTTGCTCAGACACCACGCCATGTGGGAATGACTGGGGATCAAGCCTGGGACTTTCGGGTCCCGAGTCGGCTGTCCTACCTCTACCCCATCTTGGCCCCATAAAACAAGTTATGCACAGATTCACTGCAGCATGATTTGACAATAATAGGGCAGGAATTTGTGAAATTGCTTAAAGTCCAACAAGCACCAGGTTTGGAAATAAAAACAGAGGTTGGGGGAAATCAGTTATCTCAGTTTAAGTTGTTCACAGGGGTTTATAATAAACAGTAAAAGGTGTCCATGTGCAGCAGGTGTTTTGTTTTAATGTGAAGTTGGCATTGGAAGATGAAGGATTAATCTAAATAAATATAAACAGAAGACAAATCAGTCCTGGCTGCAAAACGAAGGTTTTGGGACAGACGAAGAATTTCCAAATTTGACTATAATATTGAATGACATCATTAGTTTAAACTGTAGCATGATCAAAATCACATTTGGACAGTTGCTGTATTTTATTATTATTTTTTTGACTATAAGGCACACTTAAAATCCTTTCATTTTCTCAAAAATCAACAGTGAATCTTATAATTCAGTATGCCGTATGTATTAATTCTGGTTATGCTTACTGACCTCGAAACGATTTTATGTGGTACAACTGAACAATGTTCAGAGTTATTGTAAATGAGCTGAATAAAGTTTAACTTATTTGACAGTTTTATTTTGCTTAATGCGCCTTATAATCTGGTGCACCTTATGCATGAAAACAGACCCGTTCATTGATATTGCACCTTATAGTCCGAAAAATACATTAGGTATCAGAAAGTTTGGTTTCACGGTTGGTTTTCTTTCTTGGATTTTGCTTTTTGCCTTCAGTTTTTAAATGCACAATAACATATCTCACACAGACACAGACAATAATTGTCCAGCTCAGAGCATGACCTATTAGAATTCAAGTTTGTTCACAAAGTAATGAGTCTGTGAAGTCAGAATCTGTCTAACTTGTTTGATCCTTAACAGAATTATGTCATTTAGCAAATTTGAGAGCATGGTCTCTCAAATGGTGCATAAAGATTTACTAAACAGGACCAAGAAAATACACATCTTTGAGCATAATTTACTAAAATGAGGAAAAAAAGTTCCACAACCACAACATTTTCTTTTCCTATTTAGGACTTGTTTGTTTCTGTAAAGAATAAAGTACAAAAAAAAAAAAAAAAAGAAAATCAAAATATAAAGTAGATATGTGGATAAAGAAGTTAAACTATTATTTCAAAAACAGAAGTTGTAAAGTTGGAGATGAAGTCCTCATATTTATCAAATCAAGTTTAAATGGTGATGCCAGCAGTCTGAATGTGTAAAACAGGGTCACATAACAACTAAATTATTAAAGTGACTGCATATTGTAAGCAACTAAAAGCCGTTGGGGCCTTTGTTGCGTTTATGATCGTATTTTAGATGTTGCTAACTGCCTGAGCGTTGCATCTTATTATTCAAATAACTATCTCAACCATCTAAATATGAGATACATTTATCTTTGTACTGCATGCAAGTATACCCACAAATGTTTTTTTTTTTTTTTTTTTTATCTTTCCAGTCAGTTTTTCCTCAATATACTTGAATGCAGCCATATTTGAGTGTGTAGTTTCTTTATCTGAACACTTTAAAAAAAATCTGTTTTCCAAAAGGGCTAAAAGCCATTATCTATATTTGTGCTCAAAGAGAAAACTCTTTGTAACATCTTGCTAGAAATCCAATGTTAAAGGCATTCTGCAGATATTGTCCATATGCTAGTTCTGGTTTGACCTAATCTTATTCAGTTTCTCATCAAATACAATCGTGTCATTTTTAATTTAGTACTGTAAATAAAAACTTGTGTCTTATGTATGCACCAGTGGCTTTTTGAATTATTTCAGAGCTCCGTTGATAGGTTTGTTTTCAATGGTCTGTGATAAAGATCTTATTTCTATGGATACATTGTTCAGTGCTCTGTTTACAGTGGATTAGACCATATTACATATCCTCTCTTGCTTCCAGTGTTTTGACAGCATCTGTGCTGGGTGTGGTGATGAGCGACAGAAAAAGGAATTAGGAATTATTTGCAGCTTGGCTCTGTTTTTTTTTAATCCTTTTAATTTTTTGTGAAGGTGCTTTGTCTCAACCTGTTATTCGATTTTCATCCCCTAAGGAGAGTGTAATATTTCAGGATGGGATTCTTACACGCCCCTCACCTGGCTGTGATACTATAAATATGAGCACTATGAACGTTGCTCTGTCAGCTGCGTCCATTTATGCTTGATGTCAGGCTGCTGAGATTCTAGACAGAATCCCTCATGTGAGAGTTAGTCAGTGATCGGCTGATGAGAGTCATAATTATTGACAATGTAAAGTAAGATGGCATACCTGAGCAGAATCTCGACTGTCAGCAACAGTAGCTTTAATACCAGTTTTGGTTCCAGTGACAGCATCCTCATGGAGCCATTACAAATTAACAGCTCAGTATTTCTTAATAACAACATCGCCTATGGATCAAGGTGAAGTTACTTTGTTCAGCTTTAATAATGTGCCTGAAAGAAAAGCATCAAAATACGTCAGATATTTATTCCTTAATTTTTTCCTTAGGCTTGAGATGTTGCAGCAAATTGCCAACAGAGTCCAGCGGGACTGCGTTCATGGAGAAGACAAGCTGGCTTTGGCCAGAACAGCCCTCCAGTCGGTGAGTTTTGTGCAAGACTCTGATGAGCGCTGTAATGGAAAATGCAATTAGTCTCCGAGTTGTTAATGTTTTTGTCTCTTTTAAGGACACCAAGCGTCTCGAGTCTGGCATACAGTTCATAAATGAAGCTGAGGTTGCGAGCTACCTGTTGGAGTGTGAGAACATCCTCAGACAGCAAGTTGTGGACATCCAAATTCTTCTGGATGGGAAGTTTCCATTTGCAGATCAGCTCGTTCAAAGGTGCAAATAAAATGCTCCTGCACAGATAAGAAAATGTTTATTTTGCATCGAATCATCTTATGCTGCCAACCTCCTCGTCACAGGGTATCCAGACTCCGGGATGATCTTCTGGCCCTTCGAGCCGAGTGCTCCTCCGTGTACAGCAAAGGTCGCACCCTGACAACAGAGCAAACCAAAATGATGATCTCAGGCATCACACAGAGCCTGAACTCTGGCTTTTCCCAGAGCATCAACGCAAGCCTGACACCAGCCATTAATCCTGCACTCACCTCAGGGGATTTAGGCGCCCCTGGGTCCACCTTCACCTCTGGCCTTACAACGTGTCTAACCCCATCCTTGACCCCAGCCTTGACCCCCAGTCTGCAGCCTGCTTCGGTACAGAGCTACATGGGAAATGGTGGCGGCATGGAGCCGGGTAACCTCATGCATCTGAAACACATGCAGATCAGAAAGCCCTTACTGAAGTCCTCCCTGGCAGACCCCAGCATGACAGAGGAGGAGGTTAACATGAAATATGTGCAGGACCTCCTGAACTGGGTGGAAGAGATGCAGGTAAGCTGTCTCCATCTTTTTCTTTTTCTTAATTGTAGATGTTATTTTAAATCATGAGAGCCGAAGATATTTTTTTTAAATTTCAATTCACGTTTAAAGTTGCAGCTAGAGCGTTCAGAGTGGGGAACTGATTTGCTAAGTGTGGAAATGCATTTGGACAACCACAAAAGTGTCCACAGAGCGATTGAAGAATTCCAGATGAGTCTTAAAGATGCCAAACTGAGTGAAGTAAGCCCGTTTCAAATACATTTTTTTTAAATAGCTTGACTTTACCTGTTGCCTGAAAAATAACATTTCAGCAGACATTAAAGAAAACTTTTTATCTTCTCAGATTCAGATGACCATGCCTCTTAAGCTGGCTTATTCGGATAAACTGAACAAACTGGAAAGGCAGTATGAACGGCTGTTGGTAAGCATGTTGTTGAGCTTAACTCTTAAATTAAAAACTGTGGTTGTCTTTTAGTCTGACGGTCTATGTCGTTCTTTCAGAGCTGTTCGAGGGAGCGGCAAACCAACCTGGAATGCCTTCATGACTTTGTGTCACATGCAACTCAAGAGCTCATCTGGCTGAATGAGAAGGAGGAAGAGGAGGTCGCCTTCGACTGGAGCGATCGCAACAACAGCATCTCCAAGAAAAGAGACTATCATGCAGTAAGCTATTTCTATCTTGATTAATAAAAAAAAGATTTCTGCCTTTTATTTATTGATTGATTTTATTTTAAGCAATGCTGTTTTTTGTATTTTCTTTAATATATAACAAATAAGTCCAGCGAGGGGATTTGTGCATGAATGCTGCCTTGAATTATTACTTTCATGCTCTGAGCTGTGAGGCAGGATATGAGATTAAGTGATATGACACAGTAAACGGCTGTGTGCCATGGCGGAAAGCCAGAAATACTCAGCTTAATGTCTTTATGCAGGACCTGATGAGGGAGCTGGAAGAAAAGGAGGAAGCCATCAAGTCTGTGCAGGACAAGGCAGAGCGCCTCATGCTCAAGAACCACCCAGCCAGACTAACAATTGAAGTAAGTCCCATAAGCTTTTACTTGAAGAACTTCTCAGCTACCTGTGAGACAGTTATAGTTTAGAGCAAGAGTTTTTTTCAGCTTTTACAACTCTGTTCTGTTTATTTTAGGCGTACAAAGCTGCAATGCAGACACAGTGGAGTTGGATTTTACAGCTCTGCTCATGCGTAGAACAGCATCTCAAAGAGAATGCTGTTTATTTTGAGGTGCGCTCCTATCTATTACAATATGTACAACAAATGCATTTGTTTTGTTTCATATCTAATCGTCACGTTCTCTTTGACCTGACTAGTTTTTTAGTGATGCCAAAGAGTCCATGGACTACCTTAAAAATCTCCAAGATTCCATTCAAAGGAAATTCAGCTGTAATCGGTCAAGCAGCCTGCACAGGTTGGAGGATCTCATCCAGGAGTCCATGGTAAACTAACTCAAAGCTGCGATGTGTGTGCCCATGTGCAGATGTAGTTACAAACGTGCATGCATTTTGGGTGTGTGTTCAGGATGAGAAAGAGCAGCTTCTTCAGTACCGCAGCGCTGTCGCAGGGTTAGTGGGCAGGGCCAAAAACATTGTGCAGCTGAAGCCCAGGAACCCGGAAACTCCCCTCAGATCCTCCATCCCGGTCAAAGCGATCTGTGATTATCGGCAAATAGAGGTACAAAAGTATTCATGCCATTTTACAGCACACTTTTTGAAGATTTTAGAGGAAATCTAACCCGGGATTGTCATAATTCTTTCAGATTACCATTTATAAAGATGATGAGTGTGTGCTGGCCAATAACTGTCATCGAGCCAAGTGGAAAGTTATCAACCCAGCAGGGAACGAGGCCATGGTGCCCTCTGTGTGCTTCACTGCGCCTCCACCTAACAAAGAGGCTGTTGACATGGCTGCCAGGTGAGAAGGATGCTGGAATTCACTTTTCTTTCTTGAATTTCCTTCACTGCACTTTTTACTTTGGGTTCTACTTTACTTAAACGTTTCACGTTTTCTTCTAGGACTGAGCAGTTGTACCAAAATGTCCTGGCACTGTGGCACCGCTCTCACATTAACATGAAGAGTGTGGCGTCCTGGCATTACCTCATGGCTGACATACGTGCCATCCGCAACTGGAATGTGGCCTCTGTATGTTTATTGTTTGGCTTCCTCTTTCAAACATTTAATAATCATTTGTGATAATCAGCCTGATAGTTTCGGACCAAGAACACTAAGAGCATATTTGTTCTCCGCTTTTGTTCCTGTTACAACTGCAGATAAAGACGATGTTGCCAGGTGAGCATCAGCAGGTTTTGAGCAATCTGCAGACCCATTTGGCTGAGTTCCTGGAGGACAGCGAGGAATCAGAGGTGTTCACAATGGCAGACTGTGCTCAGCTAGAGAGAGACGTGGCGGCCTGCAAGGAATATTACCAGGAACTGCTGCGATCTGCAGAAAGAGGCAAAACTCTTAATTCCTTCCCTCTCCTTCTAAATAAGAAGCTGCTGGAACACAACCCAGCAGAAGGAACACATGGCACTTTAAGCCTTTTTCAGCCTAAAGTTAATACCTTTAGGAATTGTATGTATTTTTCTTGCTGAATTGAGAGCAGTTAATAAAAAAAAATCATTGGTTTTGCTGCAAATTAAAATCATTCCTGTTTTAATGAGCAATTCAGTTATGAGTTTTAACTGAAAAAAGGAATAAAACACAATTTTTTTTAGTCGTGCTTCTGCGCTCCACTCCTTCCTACATTTCCTTAAAAATGTCTCAGCTTATATATTAATTAATTAATTGATTTATTTGTTCATTTAAAAAAGAAACCAAACAAATTCATCAAAAAGAAAAGAAAACATTGAATGAAAAGGGTGCAGAAAGAAGAAAATTCTTACAAAAATGTTATTTCATTAACTCTATGAATTTCAATACTGTCAATTTTAAATGGGACTTTGATAATTTTCTTTCAATTACTAAATATCATGTAGTTTTTTTTTCTTTCCCAAATTTAGTAACTTATTAATTTGGAACCAAGTTTGTATTTTTATGAATTTTGCCTGTGTCATCTCTAACATCTGTTCAGTATCTTCACCCGAACAAAAAAAAAAAAGTGGTATCATCTACAAATAAAACACACTTCAAAAGCCCTGACACATCAACCAGATCATTCACATACAAAATAAACAACTTTTGTCCCAACACAGAGCCCTGAGGAACTCCACATATTATATTAATATTAATTATATATATATATAATTTTAATTTTCTTAACTTGTTTATGACTGAACAATAAGAACACAAGAGGAGCTATGATATTTTTTTTCTGTATTGCATCAGCTCTTTTTTTTGACCTTACTGTGATGATGCTGCCACCTAGAGGTGAAATTCACACAGGACATTTGTTTTGATCACGTGCTCTCCATCAAACAGATGTTATATTTTGCTATGTTTTTGTGATAAACAGAGGAACACGAGGAGTCAGTGTACAATCATTACATATCCGAAATCCGCAACTTCCGCATGCACCTGGAAGGCCATGAAGAACACCTGATCAGACAAATCCGCACTCCGCTGGAAAGAGACGACTTGGAGCAGAGTCTGCATCGCATCACTGAGCATGAGGTACGCAGCGGAGTATTTCTTGTTCTACAAATATGCAAAGTTATCTGATGGTTAGTAATTTAACCATACTTTTTAATTGCCACTTTACAGAGGAAGACAGATGAGTTGGAGAGGATGAAGGATGATCTGGATGTCCTGAAGGAGAAGTGTGAGGTGTTCCTCCGACAGGCAGCAGCTTCTCCGTCTGCGTCGACACTTTCCTCCGAGCTCTCTGTCCTCCTTCAAAGCATGAACCAAGTGTACTCCATGTCCTCCATTTATTTGGACAAGTAAGCGTCTTTACGGTGTCTCAAAGTAATTCAGAGGAAGAAAAAGTGTTAGAAGTGAAGTAATGCTCTTGTTTTTGCAGACTAAAAGCAGTGAGTCTAGTTGTGAAGCACAGTCAGAGTGCAGAGGCTCTTGTTAAAACCTACGAGTCCAAACTTTATGAAGAAGAGGCCACGAGCTCTGACGTCAAATCCATTGAAAGCATCATTTCAACACTTAAGGTAAAACATTGTTTTTCATTAAAACAGGTTGTCAGTATTAATACTGTTTGTATTTAAGTGAGTAACCATCTTTTGTTCCCAGCAATGGCGGACAGAGATTGACGAAAGACAGGAGGTGTTCCACGACATGGAGGATGAACTGCAGAAAGCTCGCGTCATCAGCGATCGCATGTTTAAGGCCCACAATGAGCGGGACTTTGATCTGGACTGGCACAAAGAGAAGGCGGATCAGCTGAGTGAGAGATGGCAGAACATTCACGTACAGATTGATGGCAGGTTTGTTCGGCGTTTGTTTTATTCCACCCAATACAGCAGGTTCATGCAAACTATAAGTTTATTGCAATTTCTTTATCAATGTCAGACTTCGGGATCTGGAGGGCATCAGCAAGTCTCTGAAGCACTACAGAGACTCCTACTCGAGTCTGGACGAATGGATCAGAGAACTGGAAACGGTGCAGCTGAAGGCTCAAGAAAACAAACCTGATGACAGCAAAGCTCTTGCTGAGCTGTTAAACAAACAAAAGGTAAAACAGAACCGAACGCCCTCACACCAAGTCAAAGACTGAAAAGTACTGATTCTGTTTGTGTTTTACTTTTAGGTTCTCGTTGCTGAAATTGAACAAAAACAGAGCAGGATTGACGAGTGTCAAAAGTATTCAGAGCAATACTGTTCTGCTATTAAGGTAATTAATTTTAGCTAATTATCTGACCCTTTTTAAAATTTTTCTAAGACCATTAGGGCTGGACGATATGGCCAAAACATTTATCACGATATTATAATGATAATAATAATAATAATAATGTTCACCTTTTATTTGTGCTTAGCCTTCAAGTGACAAAGTTGAGAGTTTTATGTTTATTTGCCAGTGATTTCAACATTTTTTGAAGGCTAAATACAAAAATATTTATGTGTAAATATCTCATGTTACAATGTGGCTTACAGACAACGCGGCTTATAGACAAGTGCGGCCTATTTATGTACAATTTTAATTTTCTTTTTAAACTTAGTGGATGCAGTTTATATTCAGGTGTGCTCAATAGTCCAGAAATTACAGTAATATGTGTAAATAAATCAGCTATATTCTGTTGGTATTTGCAGGATGTGTTTTGATAAAAATGCTCTTGTGTTCCTTAGAAGATGTTCAGAGCTAAACTAAATTTTAAAAGATATGTTTTTGATTTGAAGAAAGTTGATTTAAAAATGTCTTTAAATTTCCTTTAGGATTATGAACTTCAGCTGATGACATTCAGGGCGATGGTCGACTCCCAGCACAAATCTCCTCTCAAGAAGCGGAGGATCCAGAGCTCTTCTGATGCGATTCAACAGGAGGTAAAACTCTATTCTAACTTGGTTCATAAAGAAAAAATATTCTGTTTCAACAAGTCTTACACAACAGCACATCTGTCTGTTTTTTATTTATTTATTACAGTTTATGGATCTCCGAACCCGTTACACAGCTCTTGTGACTCTAATGACCCAGTACGTAAAGTTTGCCAGTGAAACACTGAGGAGAACAGAAGACGAGGAGGTAACATTTCATGATTTCCTGTTTAGCTTTTGGGGCTTTAAATGTCTCTTTAGGTTCTGATTCCATGTTCCGTTAAAATATTTGCATGATTTTCAGGTCTCTTTTGCACCAACATTAACAAGCTTTGCTGGTATTTTTACTATTTGTGGCTTTGACTTGTTGACTCAGCAGCTCATCGGGGTGAAAACAGTTTGCTTCATTGTGCAAAAGAAGCAAATAAAATGCCGAAAAACAGTGCATGGCTGCATGTCCTGGCACATCTTGCTGGCATTGGTTGGAGAAAGTTTATTTATTCTTTAACAGATCTTTTTTTATTTTTTCTTCTAGCATGAAGAAAAAAAATCTCTGAGAGTTGGTTAATTTTTTTTAATTACTAACATTTGCATTTAGCAGAAGCTGCCATTTTTAGTGTAACGATTTAATAAAAAGGCTTTTAAATTTTAAATAATCTAACATTTTATATGATGTAATGCTTTCAGTTTGATTTTATATTGAATCAAACACTTGGAGAGATTGCTTCAATTTATTTTATTATTATCATTTTTTTTTACAATTTCAATTTAATAGTGAATCTCTGTGAATAGTGAATGACCCATTGTTTTACATTATAGAACAGAAAGGCTTTTGAAAGAGCAGAGAATGCAAAGTGGACAGAAAGCATGGAACTCCAAAAAGCCAGAGGTGAAGCAGAGATTAGACAACTTCAGCAACAAATCCAGGAGCAGGAGGATTTGCTCATGGAAAAACAAGTGCAGGTGGAAAAGCTGGAAGGAGAGCTAGAAACACAAAGAAAGACCATTGGTGATATAAACTTTGAAAAGTCGCAGCTCGAGCGTGATGTTATTCAGTATCGCACAAAATTAGAAAATGCTATCAAAGACAAAGCTGCTACTGAGCAGGAATTAAAGTGCACCAAACTTTTATTTGAGCAGTCAGAGGTCACATGGTCTCTGACTCAGAAGAAACTCGAGGAGAAAATAGCAAATGTGGAAGAAGTTGAATGTGATGCAGAGGCAGAGTTACACGGTCTAGTCCAGTCTAAAAACAAGGATCTGCAGCGGATGAGATTTGACAGCCAGCCAGAATCAGATGCTCAGCTGGAGTCCTCTGCAGACAGGGTGGCTAAAGTTCTGCAGCAAAAACTGGAAGAACTGGTTCAGGTCCAGAAAAAGGCAGAAATGGCCGAAGAGAAAGCTCAAAGCTATAAAAAGCTTTTGGACGACAGCAACAACAAATTGAAGAAACTTCAGATGGACATGGAAAGTGAAAGGACCCACATGAGGAAGGAATCAAAGGAACTTCAACTGGAAACACTGAACCTGAAAAAATCCATCATCAGCCTGCAGGAGGAAATCAGATCTCTCCAAAGAGCAAAGTCCTCATTTGAACAAAGCTCCTTTTTCCAGAGCACTGAAATCGAAGGCCTTAAAGAGCAGTTAAAGATCACACAAGGGGAGCTGCAGAAGAAAAGCTCCATTGAGCAGGAAAACACTTACAAGATTAACAACTTAGAGGAAGAGGTAGCTTCCAGAGAGGTCGTAATAGATCAGCTGAATCTTAAATGCAGCGAGCTGACGAGGATGAACGTCTCCTCTGGCAGTGATATTAGAGGCCTTCAGATCCAAACTGAGTCAATGGAAAAAGTGAGATTACTTTCTGATCAAAAAATCAAGTCTTTAAAGAGAGAGGTTGAGAGTTGGAAGCAACAGCTTCAAACATCCAAGGAAGAATGCATGGTAATTATGAAATCGGAACAGGCGCTGCAGCTCAAATGCAAAAACCTGGAGGCAGAGCTTCAGAAAAGTGAAATCGATGCTTCTCAGCTGCAAAGAAAAATAAACGAGCTAAAACAGAACAGTTTAGAAATGGAGCAGAATCTAAAAAACACAAAGGCTAAACTTGATCAGGTGTTGATGGAAACTGAGAGCAAAGACCAGCAGATTAAAATCTATAAATCTCAAGTAGAGGGCACTAAATCACAGATTAGGATTATTGAGGATGAACTAAACAAAAAATCCCAAACTACGTACGAGCTCCAGATGAAACTGCAAGAATTCAGTGAAGAGGCGAAGAAAATGGCAGATGTCCAGCAAAAAACTAAAACCCTCAGTTCACAGGTTGCCAGTTATGAGGAAGAAATTGCAACTCTGAAATCAGAGCTGAAGTCGCTGTTTGCTGAAAAAAGTTTAGTGAATCAAAAAGTCCACGTGCAAAAAGCCGAAATCGACAGTTTAAATGAGATGCTACAGAAAAAACACGCAGAGCTGCAAAAAGAATCTGGTGTGAACCTAAATCATATTGGGAAAATCAAAGCATTAGAAGATGAGCTTTTCAAGCACAAGCACAGTTTTAAGGGAATAGCAAGCAGCTCAGAGAAAATGATAGAAAACCTAAAGCAAGATATAAATACACTTCAGAATGACAAGACAGCAGCCCAGAAAAAAATAGAAAACCTGAACGTTAGATTGTTTGAGCTTAGTTCTTCTCTGCAAAAGGCGAATGATGAATTGGCTCAAGAGACCAAAGAAAGGAAATTAAAGGAATCCAAAATCACAGCACTAGAGGCCGAGCTTCAGAAAAATAGCTTAACCATCAAAGAAATGACGTCCAGTTCTGACAGATCTCGCTCAAATCTGCAACACGAGAATACAATCCTGAAGAGGGAGAAATCTGAGACGCTGGAGAAAACCATCTCACTGGGAACTGAAGTCAGGATGCTGAAAGACAAGCTGCAACGTGAACAAACTGATGCTGAGCGGAAACAAAAAGAAAACTCTGCTCTGCAGTTGAGGTCCAAACAGATGGAGGAACAGCTGGACAATTGTAAGAAGATGCTGGAGGAGCTGAAGAGGAAACTGGAACTCCAGAAAGAGGGCTACGAGAATCAGTTGTCGCTTATACAAAGCGAAATTGAGAAAAAAGTGATTTTGCTGCAGTCTGGGATCACAAAAGACAGCCAGCCAGAATTAACAGGGATGCTCAACACGTATTTGAAGCAGGACACGAAACTGATTCAAACCGTGCATCAAACCACAGTGGAATCAAAGCAACAAATGGACCGAGAGCTGCAGATACAAACAGAACTGCAGCAGGAAAGAGCAAAGCTTGTGCAAGAGTTGTCCAAAGCAAAGACAGAAATTGTCCATCTGGAGGAAGAAAAGGTCAAACTCATCTCAAAAATCAGTTCCCTGCAAAGCCTTTGCAATCAACAGTCAGTGGAGAAAGCAAAGTTTGAAAGGCTGCTAGCAGACAGTGAGCGGAAACTGACTCTGAAAGAAAATGAAGCTAGAAGTTTACGCGAGCAAACAGAGATGTACGTAAGAGAAGTGAAAAGTCTTCAGGAAACACTCTCAGCAGTCAAAGTGGACGCAGTGAAAACCAGTCATCAGTCTGTGACAAATGGCAAAGCTGATGTGTTGAAGGCAGACCCCATGACATCTTTCATTAAAGGTGTGAAATACAGCAAGGAGGAAGAAACTCTTAAAACAAAAGAGGTATGGAAGCTATTGGCACTACTGTAGCATATTATAATAGATTGTATGATTGTCTGAGCTGTCGTTACAGTTGTACCAGTGGACGCTAGATTTTAATTACTTAAAAGTTTGTCCAATGTCGTACCCACAGATGGAAACAATGGAGCGAAGCAGCATTCTTGAAGGACTCAGACAAGTCAAAGAAGAAATGTCCACCATTCAACCAAAAGATACCCAACATGTCACTCACAAGAGCAGTGTCTTGTCTAATTTCCCCAGCTCTGTCACAACACACGGATACATGGCTCTGTGTGGGCTAACAGACAAACAGCTGAGTGAAATTAATGTCAGCAAGACAAAAACAAATCAAATCAGAGAAACTCTTGAAACCGTAAACACATCCGAAAAGAGCACAGCAAACTTTGGTGGAACACTGATAAACTCCCAAAAGCTCAGAGAATCTGACGGGGGTGCAAACATTCAGTACTTGATCAAGTGTAAGCTCTTGGATGACGAGGTTTTACAAAAGTTGGACATGAGGCTCATCACCGTTGAGCAGCTGCAGGCATCACTGGCTCAACAACTGACAGGCAAACCAACTACAATCGCTGGAGTTTATGTGGAGTCAAGTAAGAAGAAAATATCCTTCCTAGAAGCTGCTGAAAAGGGCTTCCTTGCAAAGACATATGCTCTTGAGTTTCTCGAAGCTCAGGCTGCAACAGGGAGTCTCGTAGATCTGGCCACAGGTGAAATGCTCTCAGTTGCCAAGGCTCTGGAGAGACGAATCATAGATATAGGTATGAAAGATAAACTGTTAGAGGCGGAGAAAGCTGTTAGTGGCTACAACTATAAGGGCAAAAAGCTGACTGTGTTTCAGGCAATGGAGGAGAGGATTCTTGATAGATCTAAAGCCAAGAAGATCCTTGAAGTCCAGATTGCTACTGGAGGTTTAATTCACCCGGAGACAGGTGTCAGAGTTCCAGCTTTTGTTGCTGTAAATAGTGGCCTTTTGAACAAAGAGATTCTGCAAAGTTTGTATGATCCAGTGAGCAACCCAAAGGGTTTCCACAACCCCGACACAGGACAAAAGGCATACTACCAGGAAATACTAAAAACAAGCTTGTATGATCTTGATGGCGGTGTGTTTCTCATCCCATTTGGAGAAAGGCATCTAACAAACACGTCTCCCGTGACCCCCCACCGAGTGTCTGTTGTCAACAGCAACTGTGGTGCTGAAATGTCCGTCTATGAAGCGTGCAAGGGGCAACACATTGACAAGAAAATGTATCTGTTTCTCTCACAGCAGGAAAGCGAATGGCAGGAAATCTCAAAAGTTGACCCCGATGGAAGCTCACGTCACATTATCACTGATGCCAGAAGTGGCCGACAGCTTTGTCTAGAATCTGCTTTGAGTCAGAGGTTTCTTGAAGCGTCTGAGCTTGAAAGCTATAAAAGTGGTCTTCTAAGTATCTATGAGGTTACAGACATCATATTTTCAAGAAGGGTTGTTGTGGAAGATGTTAACAGCACCATTGCTGGTCTCTGGGACATTACTCGGAAGAAGAGACTCTCAGTTTTTCAAGGCTTCCAGCAGGGGTTTACTGATAGAGTTACGGCTTTACAACTCCTAGAATCACAGGCATGTACTGGAGGTATTTGCGACCCCTCATCTGGGGAGAAAGTTACCCTCCTGGAGGCTCTTAAAAGAGGCCTTGTAGATGAAGCAGTGAAACAGCAGCTCCAGCTGTTTGAGGAGGCATTCAATGGCATTGCTCATCCTAAGACTGGGAAGATTTTGTCAGTATTTGAGGCTGTTGAGGAAAATCTTCTCCCAAAGGATGTGGGGTTTCGCTGTATTGAGTTCCAGCTCTTGACTGGTGGGATAATAAATCCTAGTACTCGTGATAGAGTCTCGCTTGAAGAAGTCATTCAAAGTGGCCTTGTTGACAAAGTTACAGCTGCCATGCTCAAAGATGAGAAGCTTCACACTAAAAGCATCACCTGTCCAAAGACCAAGAGAAAAATCACATTCAAAGAGGCGCTCGAAAGAAGCATTTTTGACTGTCACACTGGGTTGAGGTTACTTGAGGCTACAAAAGTCCTTGGTTATGGAGCTAAAACAGCATTTCATTATCTCTGGGCATTTCAATAAACATATGTAAATGTACGTGTAAATGCAAGTAAAACCTGCAGATAGAATTTTCTTTGGTATGGTTTTGCTGATTGTTTCATTTTGATTTATATGTTGCTTTTCATTTTAATGTTGTGTTTCAAGTGCCAGATTATTCCTCTTGAGTTATTGTTTGACCGTATGAATAGTTCATTTTAACATGAAACACCCTCAGATTTTATTTTTGTAAGCAAAGTTGACAGTTCTGTTGGACCTGTTTTACTTCTAGAGATCTGTTGATGAGGAGAAGCGAGAGCATGGCGATAAAGTTAACAAGCTATTGCACTGGATGTCTGGTGTGAAACTGACAATGAGCAATGACGGGCATGCTCTGAAAGATAGTAATGCCAACACAGACACCTCAAATAAATGCCAGGTAATTGATGTGTGTGTTTATGGCATTATCATTTGTCTCTTAAAGATATTTCTGATTACTCAAGCCTTTTATTGTCACTGTGTATGATTTCTAATAAAACACACTTTGGGGAATGCATTGACCGCAATTGGCTTAAAAACACTTGACTAATAAAATATGTATGATTACATGTTTGATTATTTTAATCAACTCTAACTGATGAACTAACAACAAGCCTTTGTTGCACAAGCACTCACACTGACAACATAATTAGTCCAATGAGTTGTTGAATTCTTTGAACAACTTTGTGTGTTTAAAAATATCAAAGGCCCAATATAAATTCCTATATATATATATATATATATA